TTTTATGTATTTGTTACGGTTGGTTAGTAAAATGTTAACAATTATGCAAAGGATGATCGATGAATTAGTTAGTGAAATCAACAAATTTTAAGAATGAAAAATACAAGTGTGAGAAACCAAAGAGGCGACTCGTCTAGTGCATGATTCTATCACTCGAATGGAGCCTACTTATGATTTTTGATAATTTGATACTCGGATTATCTGATCATGTTCAACAAGACAACTGAACAAGATTTGTAAGCGAATAGTATACAAAGAAAAGGCAACAAGTCTCTTACCTGTTGCCGACAGTTGCGACGTCGAGTTGGATTTTTTACCCATCCCGCTGCCGCCTTTGGGTGATCGTTCCTGATCCACGTTGCCGCATTTTTTTCGATCCGTTGTGGTGTCTGACAGGCTGCCATCTGTGGAGCACACACAAAAACAAAACAAAGAGCAAATACTTCCTATTAGTTTTCCTGCACAAATACTAAACGGAATTAAATATCTTTGGTCTTTCAAATCAAAATACAATAGCTATAAGGAACTCATACAACACCATGAACAAGACTCAAAACAAGATACACCATAAGACTCCGTTGGTCGAAGCAATCTTAATCTTCAATAGATCAATATTAATACATATGAATTTAGGTCTTCAAAAAAGTTTGCCACGCCATTAGCATGCGCATCCTAAATATTTAAGAATGATTCTTTCAAACCGTAAATAACATTGAAACAAACAGAGAAGCTTTCAATTATCAATCAGTAGTTTAGTTAAATAAGAAATCACGTGAATAGAATATCTTATCGATATATCGGTTCATGCACAGTATTGGGTAATATTTATAGAGTGAGATGTTAATTAACATTAATATCGAGTGTGGTCCTGACGAGGTTACCAGTTGGTTACGATGCATGTAATCGAACGTGCTGGTGAAAATCGGACAGTTGATTAGAAAGAGGAAGAAGGGCAACAGTGCGGGAACACGCTGCACTCCACAAAATTATCTAATCTGCAGAAATATCCGACATATACAATACGAATAGATAACCAAAAGAATCATATGAATAGAATGGACTGCAGGAATCAGAGTAATAAAACAATATGCGTAGTATCGGGAATAGGCGTCAGTTGGATTTCGATTAGTCTACGGAGTCATATGACTCTCTTTGCCGTAATTAATTACTTTGCTACCAACTTTTAAGACATGAATTTAATTAGAATTTGTAAATTTGTTGGCTATAGATGATCTCTAAATCTAATGCTATTGATCTTTTGTGATATTTGAAATATGGATAGATGCTTAAATATCCAAAACATACCGGCTTTCTCCTCAGTTCCGCCGCCGCCGTCGGCTGACTTGGCACCACTCGGCTCGTTGGCACCGTTCTTCTCCTTGTCGTACTCACTGAAATCGTCGTCGAGCATCGCATCGATTGCATCCCAATCGATAACATCGATAGGTGCATCCGCGTCCGCATCCGCATCCGCATTCGTATTGGCATTCGTATTGGCGTTTGTTGTTGTTGTTGTTGTTGCGTTTGGTTCATTCGTGTTATTTGTATTTGTATTTGTGGCAGTTGTTGTAGCAGTCGTTGCGGTTGTTATCGTTGTCGTCGTCGTTGTTGTTGTTGTTGTTGCCGCATCAATCGACGATGTGTTTGTTGTTGCATTTGTGATGAGATTTGTGCATGTATTTGGTGGTTGTTGTTGTTGTTGTTGTTGTGTGAGATTGGTTGATGTTGCGTCATGGGTCAAGTTGTTGGCGTCGTTTGTTGTTGTTGTTGTTGTTGTTGTTGTAGTGGTATTGTGTATTGATGATGGGGCACGTTTATTGGGTGATGCGTTTGTTGTTGTTATTGGTTGATTAGCGACACCATGATGTTGTTGTTGTTGTTGTTGTGGGGGATTTGCAAAAGAGGAAGAAGAAGCATTATTAGCATTATTACCATCGCAGACGATATTACCAGTAGCGGCAGCGGCAGCTGCGGCAGATGTTGCACCACCGCTCCCACCACTAGATTTCGTCAATTGTTCCGATGCCGATGCCAACAATCCGTTTACGGCGATGATGCCTTCTTTCCCTTTTTGCCTAATTGATTGTGGTTGTTGTTGTTGTTGTGGTTGTTGTTGTTGGTTGTTGTGAAATTGACTAACACTACTAACACTACTCGCTGCGTGGCTATTGTGATTGGTGTAGTGGCTACTGTTGTGATTGTTACTGTTGTATGTACCACTGTTCTGTGCACCGCCCCCACCAACACCACCACCGATCGCCTCCATGGGCGAGAAGTTGTGTGCGTTTTGCGCACTAGGCGGATGCGGAAGATTGCGACGTCGCTTCATGTAGGGCGCAGCGGGTCCGTAGAGCTTCTGCTGGCTGGTGCGCTGCAGATCGAGGGACATGTGATTGCGAGCGTCGACACCGCGACGGTGTGGACCGCGGAAGAGGGAGGGCGCCACGCCGCGTCGGGTCCAGCCCACATCCGAGTCGTAGGTGATGGTCACGATCTTGTCGTCGGTGACCAGGAAATGCGAGTGACTCAGCGGATTGGCGGCATCCACATTGGCGCCCATATACGACTGCCGTATGTTCGTCTCGGAGCCGTAGCGGCGACTGCTGGGCAACTGCTCCTCACTGGGGTGATAGGCGTGCGGCATCAGCTCATGTGGTGCCACCTCGTCCTCGTAACGTATGCGCCGCCTGCCCCAGCTCTTCGTATGCAAATCATCGTAGTCCAGGGAGCGCGACTGGCCTTCGTGAAACATGCGACGTCGGTCCAGCTTGGGCTTCTTCAGAATCGATGTGGGTTGAGCCCGTGCCGTCGCCTCCGCTATGGGCACCGCTGAGACTAGGGCATCCTCGCTAAGCTGTCGCGAGAGTCGCAGCACGGATTGCGTGGGCAGTGGTGGAGGCGGTGCCAGCTGCGAATTCGCTCGCCGATGAGCTGTCGGCGTTGGCGTGTGCACATGGTAGGTGGGCACCACGCCCAGATTGAGCTGCGGCCCGATCAGGCCGCCCAGGAAATGCTGATCAACGCACTCGCCGCACATGGGATCCGGGTCCATGGTGGGCAGCGAGGGCTCTGAGGTGCTTGCCGGCTGATACATGGAGAGGGAGGGGCGACGCAGCAGCTGCTCCGCGCTATAGGGATATGCAATGGGCTTATGCTGCGGATGGGGATGCGCATCGGCCAGGCAACAGGGATCGGCGCAGGCGCCAATTGCCAGGCCCGGCGTCGCCAGGGCTGTGTTTGTGGATAGCACTACCGGCTGGCTACCGTTCTGGCAGTGGCTGCAGCTCTTGTCCAGGTGATCGCGTACGTAGCCCACGTAGGAGCTGGGCGAGGAGGAGACCGTGTGGGCGTGGTCGTGGGCAGACGCTGGCGGTGCTGTTGTGGAGCTGCGAAAGAGATTCATGACGGGCGTGGTATAGCGCTTGAATTGCTCAAAGCCGGGCAGCGCATAGGTGTGATTCGCATGAGTGGTTGCGTTGGCGGTGGCGGTGGCGGTGGCGATGGTGGGGGCGYGGTCGAGCTGGCGTCCGTTGTGGCGTCGATGGTACAAGTCAAGCGGCGGCTGTATGAATGTGTTGGGCAAATGAGGTGAATAGTAAACGCTATGCGTAAGCAAATGGGGCTCGTGTGGCTCGAGGTTGAGCGGCGTCTCCTCCGCAATCAGGGCCGGCTCCACGAAGAACTGCTCGATCAGTTCGCCGCTGCTTGTGTCCGTTACGAGTACTTGCTGTGGTGCGGTCATTGGCAGTGGTATAGTTGTGGGTGGTGGCGGGACTGCAGATGCGGCACCGCTGAACCCACCTAATGCGGCGGTGTTGGGCGGCGAGTCGGCGGCAGCCAAGGCGGCTAGCTGCTGCAGTTGCTCGAGCTGCTCCAGCAGCAGGAGCTGATGAGTCCCGCCACCACTGGAGAGATAGTCGCAGTCGTCCACCTCAATGGTGTTCGCGCGGTGGTGCTCAACGGGATAGACCTTAAGGCCGGTCACAGGGCCGCCAACGGCACCGCCCAATATGCTACTTTGGGCGCCGAAGAGGTTGCGCCAGTTGCGTGGGAAGCTGATTTCGATTTATTTTGTTGTTATCGGTGGCGGGTGGTTGTTCGGTGGTTTAATGTGAGCCAGTGTCGAATTTGTTGTGTTTTCGTATTTATTTACATTTAATGTAAGTTAACAGCATGCGTTGTTAACATTAACGTTAACAGCCCAGCGTATGGTGGGGAAATTTTGGAGGTGAGTTTGAATTTGTTGAGTTTGTGAGAAATTACGAACGATCGTCGGGAAATGCAAGCGCAATGGTTGGCGTCCGAGGTCAGCGAGTGTTGATTTGAGGTGGTTCGTTTGCGTGGTGAGTTGTGGTTGTAGTTGTAGTTGTAGTTGTAAGTGTGTGTGTGTGTGTGTGTGTGTGTGTTTAGAGTGAGTGGGTGTGGTGAAGAGCACGCAAAAGCAATGAACACAAAAGAGAGAGCAGCGCGCGTCGAGCGTTGGGCGATTTTTTGTTTATCGGTTTTATTTGTTTCGTTAACGTTTTTGTTGGTTTCGTTTTGTAAGAAAAACACAAAAAGTAAATGCAGAAAGAAAACTTTATGTTTTTTTCGGATTGCCTTGCTTTTGTTAACTGATGTATGTATCTGTGTGAGTCTCTTTGTGCGTGTCTTTGGTGTAATGCGTTAAGCGCGGTTTTCTGATTCGGGTTCGCAATTCAATTGAATCAGGGCCTAATTAACGGGGAAATTTTGGATTTTGTAGCCTCTACTCGAAAAAGTTGATACCAATATTTGTGTGTAGCCCACAATCGTAATTTCAGCATAATTTTGGCAGCTTTGCTTTGGCATGGCTTGGCGACATTAACGAAGCGGACGCGAGTGCAGCGAGCCAGGCGCCAGCTTGATTCTAGCTCAGCGTCTCCGCGAGCTCTACAGCTCGGCCTACAACTCACCTGAGGCCGCGCGAGGTGCGCGGTCGCTCCGACTGCGTGGAAAACGCACTCGACGTCACACTGACCACCGACTCCATGTCCGAGTCACCAAACTCGCCCATAAAGTCCTTGTCCGGTGACAGGGAATGCCTTGGCCGCATCCGCGTGTCCATCGACTGCAGATCACTATCCGAAAGTCCTGTGTAGTGTCGCTCCCAGCCACCCATGCCGGTGCTGCGATATGTCGCCTGATGGTGCGGCTGCCGTGTGCGATGACGGCCAAAGCGGCTGCCCGATGCCAGCCGCTCGTCAAAGTCCTGACCCAATCGATCGCGCAACATGGCGCTGCGAGAGGTTTGTGGCACCTTCGAGGAAAGTAAGATAGAATTTGTAAGTTTGGTAATAAATTTGTTATAACTTGAGCACTATATGAATAAGGCAAGATATAATACGTCAGTGACTCTTTAGATGCTCAAGGCGGAAAAGTCTTTATGCAGAGCTGTTATTTCGATCAACCCTAGACTCGGAAATTGTGTGTTCCTCACAGGAAACTATCTCTAACCAGTGTTGCCGTTTTTCCCCTAGAAAAAACAGCTGAATTAGGGCAAAAAATAAGCCAAAATAGGCTAAATCCCAGAAACAATTAGCTGAAAAATAAGCTAATATTTTTTTTTACTTTTATATATCGTAACACGTACAAATATTATAACAAACATTTCATATTCATAAAAAACACAACGAAAATAATAGAAAAACATTTCATTCATATAAATGTTTACATTGATAATAAATCTTCCAGTAGATAGTCGACAGACTCTTCGGGCTCATAATTTAAATGTTCCCTGGTGTTTCGATCGATTTGAGGTAGTTTGAAAAAACTTTGTAATCAAAAGAACATCTGTTATGTCGGCTCAATTCGGATGTAAAATTTAAAAAATATTAGTTTCTGTTTTAAAGGGGCAGTAATTCTTTGAGCCTTTACCTTATTGTTGAGTTTAACGTAACAATGCTCATCCTATCTTATTTATTTAATCTTATTTAATTTTTTAATAAATTGTCAATATATTTATCCACTCTATGTTAAAGAGTGAATAATTTCAGAAGTAGTGATGTGAGCGTTAAATAGTTGCGAGCTTGTTTATTTGTCTATTAACCGGTAACTAATATATAACAAGTAAGAAGGCTCCAGTCGAGACTGCTCGACTAGGAGATACCCTGAACCCTTCAAGCTGATATTCTAATCATTCTGCACTTCTTCTATGTACACATACATACACATGCACTTATAAGCACGCGCTCTGCTAACTGCGCAGTAAGCAGCGGCTGCGCTTGGGCTGCGCTGCAATGTGGGCAATATTATGACAATTTATTTGTTGAATAATTTCTTTTGTAGACATACAATCTTTCAGAGCGTAATCATATGGTTAAAATGTGTGTACATTCCAAAGCACAAGTCTCTAGTACTTGAAATGCATTTTTTGCGAATTGGGGGCGAAGGGGGTGTGGTATCAAAAATATGTAAATTACAAAATCTTTGTATCCATTAACTTTATATACAACGCAAATTTGAAGTCTCCAGGTTTAAAAATGTTCAAATTAGGCTGAAACAACAATATCGATTTTTCGATTATTCTCGATAAATAAGCTATCGGATGAGTTATCGAAAAAATAAAGCTAACTCGTACTGCCTATGGTATACACGAGTATGCATGCCAAATTTCAGCTCTCTAGCTCTTATATCTTTTGAGAATCTTTTGCTCATACGGACGGACGGACAGNAAAATAAAAATAAATGAAAAAATATATATGTATATTAAAAGATATATATCTGTGAGTAGTAGTAGAGTGGCATTGGAATTCATTCAAGTTCATAATTCGAGTGTGTGGGTGTGTTTGCTGTTCAGGTGTACGTGTGGTTTGATTAACTGTTACTGCAATTCTACTGGAACACGGAAAATGAGTTTGTAAATTAACGGAGGAAATTACAGTTAAGAGTAAAGGCATACGGAATAAGTATGTATACTTAGCAAGAGAATTCGAAACAAAATCAATTAACGACATAAGGAAACAAGACTCCGATCTCGGATCAGCCGGGAACAGAGCAATGCTCCTCTGTTCTGCAACTGATAAAAGCATCGATATAATAAAGGTTTGGATTTATATATATAAATAATTGGTTGAGTTTTGTTAATTAGTTTGATTAGTAGTAGTAATAGTAGTAGTTATAGTAGCAGTATTAGTATTACGAAAGTGCAGAAAACTGTAGGCCTGGCTGACTAGCGGTAGCTAACTAGATGATTGCAACTAATATATATGCTGATATATGTAGGTGGCCTACTGATTCGCTTGGAGCACTTTATCCATTGATGGGATGAAATAGATATTTACTGCTGTGTACTAAAGCTGCTTGGACTGCCTGTGTTGTGTGTGTGGCTTACAGTGCGCTGTCTGAACGGTTCTGATCTGTTTGATGGAGTGTTACGTTAATTTAGCTTAGGTGCAAACCTGATTGTGATAACTTTGTCCAATGCCAGATACTGTGCGATAATCTCTGGCCATCATCCCGGCCACCCGTTTGCGGCCCTGGGGCGACATGTCACGTCTGGAGCGACGCTCGTTTAGATCGAGCTGAATTATGCGAGTTTAACGATTTGTGGATGGGACCAATTCGGGTAGCATATATCGGATATACATACAAATATATATATATGAATATATATATTTATATATACATGTTCAGCATATAACCAACGGGGAGTGGATAGTGTGTGTGTGTTGAGTAAATATATAAAGAGGAAAGATAGAGAGCAAGAGAACAAGAGGAGAAAATGTACATATGTGATCGAAATGAATATAAATCAAATAGCTGATGTCAATTTTTACATTGCATTTGTGTCTCATATAAATATATATACGCACATTTTGTACATATATTTATGTATATTCTCTATATATATGTGTGTAAACGGGTTGGTCTAATGGATCGCTAAGTGATTGTTTTTTCTGTTTTTGTCTGGTAGCGGGGTATATTACAAGAGAAATGATAAGTCAAGTAGTAATCAGAAGTACTAAACACTTAAAGCTACGATTACAAGCAGATACAGGTAGGGCGTAGGCATGCAAAAGCTTAAGGACTAAAGGCCAGAGGTGCAGCTGATAAATAGATTAAAAGTTGTTCTTTTTTTGTGACTTGTTGCAAAGTTGAGTTTTGAGAGATTTTCTGTTTTTTTTTTTTTTCATTCTTCACTTAGACAATGTTAAGGACTGCCTCTTTGGACAGTTTTCTGCAGTTAGTATGTGTTCTCAAGTTATGTTTACACGCATCCTTAAACCTAAAGCATTTTGCTTACAAGACTTAAACTCTATGTATATATTCGATCTTAAATGCAAAGATTATTGTTAGCTGAAAGTTGATGCTTATGACAACAAAATTAAAGAATAAAGATAGATTCGATAGCGCAGAGCCTTCAAATGCCACGCGCTGTTTCAGAGTTTTAGTATTTGATTTAGTACACATAGATGGAGAGCTGCGATCTTAGAGTAAGGAGTTCAGAAATTAGAGTTTAGAGAGTGAAAAATTTAACACGCACGCATAACGAAACAACGACACCAATTAGAAAAAAAAGAACGTAACGAACGAAAGTCAAATGAAAGCGCAGAAACTTTAACGGAAGAGGTATTATACATATTTCGAATGTGTGCAAACTTATGTACACTATGGATTCGAATGCGTTGATGATGGGCTGATTTGAGTGAATTAATTCGTCCAATTTGAGTTTGATCTGCATGCTAATTAACTGACAGGGACAGCAATAATGAAGCCTTCAGGCAACTGCCTTGATACTGGGCAACATGGCGTATGCGAGATGTGTGCAGATGACGGCAGACCCAAATGTCCAGCCCAAGGGGTGGTAATGAGATTGACACTTAGGAGTAACGAAATGCACAGACTATAAGAAAACATGAAACGAGTAGATTTGTGTGTAAAAACGAGTATAGAACACTTAGAATTCTGACGAAAACTGAATACACTCGCAGAGCGCTATGTCACTTCATATTATTATATGTATCTCGTCTATCTATCTATCTATCTATCCTCGTCGTTCGGTAAAATTGTCAGTAGATTGGATTGAATTTTCTGAGATACAATAAAGAAAAAATAAATATTAAATTGATTTAATAATCCTAGACAAATTTCTATACCGAAATATGCATATTTTATATAAGCGCAACGTAATTAGCATTATTTTTTTGTTCTTTAATTTTTAGTAACTCTTCACGTTGCATAAATTAGCTTGTAAAATGATTATATAAATTATACAAATGGTTTAGTTTTTCTCTGGCATAATTGTTGAGGATTGATCTAGAAAAACTCATCATCAAGTGAGCATTTGAGCTAACGGTAAACACAGTCRTCGGCTGATCGCACATTTGTCTCTAGAATAAGAAACCGAATGTTCTGGATTATGAAATAGACGCAAACATAGAAGCATAAGGAGACATCCAGAACATTCGATATGCAGTAGAAGTAGGTATATAAGCGTGCTGTAAGTCGAGCCAAAGTTCATTCAGTAAGTTCATTGTGTAAGATCAATGTCAGTGTGTCGGCTCGGTTAGTTAAGTTCAAATCGTCGCGGTACGTGAAGAAGTGTACTTGTTACTGAATATTGTGTTAAATAAACTTTTTGCGTTGCGCCTACATATACCGTGTTTCATTTAAGAAAAACCTTCAACANAATATATATTATTCTTGCTTTCCATTATTGATTATTGAATTTTTGTGAAAGCTTTTAAAGTTAAATTTAAAAATTGGAGCTCAGTATCAAGCGGTCTAACAAGATTCTAATAAACTCTGCAAGTGTACGAGCGAGGGAGAGAGAGAGAGTGACAAGAGACAGTTTTGCTGCGGAATAAAGAGAAGAGACAGAGAGAGAGAGAAAGTGGAATCTACGGAAGTTGTATGTGTGCGTGTACTGTTTGTATGCACATGTATGTGTGAGAATTAGCTCAAGTGCTTCTGTGAATGTCTTCTGGTGTGAATATGTTTCTCTGCGTGTGTGTGTGTGACCCTTTGGACGTCCTCACTCTTGTTGCTGTCAGTTTTAGCTGTGTGTATCACTCTCTCTATATACATGTTTGTATGTAATATATATATGTAAGTATATACAAAGGGAATATATATATTCATATAATTTTGGTTGCTCCTATTTATTAAGTGGCACCAAATGTGTGTTGTTGTTGTTGTTGATGTTGTTTTTGGCAGTGTTGTTCTTGTTGTGGTTGTTGTTGTTACCTCGAACAGCGGCGGGCTGGCAGAGCTGCCCATCGATGAGATGCTGGCACCGGGCGTCGTTCCATCGATGTCGCACTCGGACGTCGTGTCCGAGTCGCTCAGACGCGACATCGTGCTGGGCGGTGATAAATGATCTGTCGGTGTCAGTATCAGGCACTCCACATCGCTGCCCTCGTCACGTAACTGTTCATCGTAGTTGTTGTTGTTGTCAGAAAGTTGCCGTTGGTATGTTATTGAAATGGAACGGGGCGAGCGACAGCATGTGTTGTTGTTGTTGTTGTTGGAGTTGAATTTGTTGGTTGTTGATTGTTTAGTGGTTGGTTGGTGATAGGTGATTGTTTGTCATGTAGTTGTGTATTTTTATTATATATATATGTATTTATAATATTTTTTAAAGGTGTGCACGACATAAACAAAAGATATGACAATGCTGAGTTAATAATTTTGTTTCAATGGACAGCTGGGGATAAACATTACATCTAAAGTACTAAAACTCAGGTAAAAAAATAAAATAAAAATAAATAGAACAAAAACAAAGAAAACAATAATTTTCTGCTTTTCAGTTTTGTGTTAAGTTTTTCGCTCAACAAATCTCGTTCCGGGGAGCTTCGAAAACCTCAACCGCAATGGCTTCACATTTACCAACACACCAACATTAAGATAAATACGAACGCAAACCAAATGAACCGAAACGAACCGGCATGAAACACAAGGACGAATCAAATGAAAATGAAACGATAAGTGAAACCAAACAGAAGCTTGCGACTTCCTTGGACATAACATACGAGATGGGAGCTATCCTGATGCGGTTGCAGCTGGTACCACTCGGCCTCGTCGTCCAGCACATGATGGGCCAAGTCAATGACCACCTCACCAATAAAGTCGTTGGCCCCATAGCGCACATAATCCCACAGCGTGACCTATGGATTGACGAAGTAGAATTTGGATATTATACGGTAAGATCAGTAAATACAATGACAACTCAAAAGAATAAGCGTCAAATTGGATAATCCATTTTCAAAAGTAGGATTAATTCATAAGAAAATAAATATGATATTTATCTATAATAATAGAAAACGAAATTGGGAGATCAAATGAATTTTAGTTCTAGGAGTCCTTCAAAATTAACTGAAAAATCAATATTTTATTACAAAGATCTACAAGAATGTGATAGAGTGTCGATGGTGGAATAGAGAGATCAAGACAGACCTATAAAAAAACTAAAGAAAATGTCAACGGGATTAAATATCCTTTGATGTAAAATAAACTAGATCTAGAGGAATTTGAGAGACCGGTGATAAAAATCCTAACATTTTAAATAAAGATCAACAAAGCCGAATTGAGACTATATACTAAGTTGATTAATATCAATTGAAAAATGCATTTCATTTTTCCATTATTATACAAAGAGAGTCAAGAAGATGAAGAAGACCGATAAGTTAGTGGAAAGTCGATTGCTATAAACTAAAATATGTATTAATTTACCAGCAGGTCGAAAGAGTATATTGATAAATAAATACAATTAATTGGTGACATTAATAATAAATTATCACAGCTCACTAGTGAGATCTATACAAAACTATGAGGGTTCGAGAAGATTTTTTTTTAAATATTATGTAAAATAAAAGAAGTAAGAGTGCTATAGGCGAGACGGCTCGACTAGGAGATACCCTGAACCCTACGTAGAACTGATACTCCAACCATTCTGTACTTTTTTATGCACATATACAAAAACACATGCACACATATATACACATGCATCCACACGCATAAGCACGCGCCCTGCTAACTGCGCAGTAAGCAGCGACTGTGCCTGGGGCTGCAGTGTGGACAATAATATGAGAATTTATTTGTTGAATAATTTCTCTTGTAGTGGGGCTATCCTCATGAAACGTGATCGTAATGTTTAATTGTGTGTAGATTCAAAGCATGGCTAAGTGGGCGTGGCATTCAAAATCTGTAAATTGCCAAACCTTTGTATTTATAAAGTATCTTAAATATCTAGATCTAATAGTATTCAAATTATGCTTAAAACAAGGAATTCAATTTATCGATTACTCTCGATAAGAAACAAATCGAATGATTTTTCGAAAACATATGATAAACTCCTACTGCGGATAGTATACTCGAGCGTGCATGCAAAATTTCAACGGGCAGGCGGACACGGCTATATCGACTCAGCTCGTCGCCCTGATCAAGAATATATATCCTCATTCTGTTAAAAACTTTTCCCAAAACCACTATACCATGATTTTCCATTTTCAATGGTTTAGGGTATAACGGGTGAGATCTTCTATAGGATAGAGATAGGTGATCGATGGTGATACAGAAGTAACAAACTTAAGAAGTATAATGTGAAGAGTGAATAGGATCGAGCAAAAAATATATCATAAGAAGTTTAAACAGGATCAAGTAAATGGGACTGAGAAATATACCTCAAGCTGGCGACCATTGAGATCGCTGCGGCGCAGACCGGAGTAGAAAAACGTTTGGCCCCACCTCGGTTCGCAGGTGGTGCCAACGGTTTTCGTGCGTCGTTTAGACTTCTGGCTGCGATCGGGCAGCAGGAACACCTGCAAACAGTTAGTGCATGAGCAACTAGGCCTCTAGATTCAGGTGAACTGACTTACCTTCGCATAGGGATTGCGCCCGGCGCCGCTCTGACGCAGCGACAGACCCGTGGCGCAAACCAGCGTCACGATCAGCTGCAGAGTGGTCTGATCGTAGCCGAGCTTCAGTTGCAGCCGGCCCTCGATGGGAATCGGCTGTGTTGTCACGCCCATGCCATGCCCATGGTGCGAGTGGGCGTGGGCGTGTGAGTGCGAGTGCGAGTGCGGGTGGGGATGCGGATGCGGAAGCGCGTGCGATGGCGGTGATGCCGCTGTCGTGTGACAATGATGATGGTGGCCCGCCGTCGTTGCGTTGTGCACGCCGCCCGAGGCGGCGACGGTGGCGCTGCTGTTGCTGCTGCTGCCGCTGTTGCTGCCGCTGCCGCTGCTGCTGTGGCTGTGGCTGCTGTAGCTGTGGCTATGGCTGTGGTTATGGCTGCTGGCCTCCAAGCGCTGCGACTGCTGCGAGCAGCTACCAATGCCAGCGCCACGATGACGCAGTCCGTTGTTCGAGCCGCCGGTGTGGAGATCCGGAGAGCCGGGCGAGGTGATCAGCACGCTCGGCTTATCGCGGTGCAGCTCTAGAGCCTCAACGCCGGGTGCTGTATCGTGAGAGAAGCAGAGGAATATTTAGCCAACTTATATAGAATTCCTGTTATGTATAGTTTGTCTTTGTTGTCTTGGATTTTGTTTAGTGTGTGGCTTAGACATACATCCTATAAGTGTAGATCTACATGGACTAGCCAAGATAAATGTTCTGTAACCTGATTACGATTACAGTTAAATCTTTCTCAAAGTTCATTTCTATTACAACAACAACTAGAGACTCCTTTACACACACACGCTCGCACATACACACTCGCACACACCTTTACGCTGCAGGTAACGCCCTCCGCTGCTGACCACTGCGCTGGCTGCCATGCTGCTCGCCAGCCCACTGTGCGGAAAGTTGGCCGAGGAGCGTCGGGTGACGCTGCTGCCCGAGCCAGAGCATGCGCTGCTGGGGCTGACGTTGCTGCTGCCGCCGCTGTCGACGCTGCCGGCGCCACTGGATGGCAGCAGCAGCGATCGACCCACAATCAATTCCACCTGTGCATCCAGACGACTCTCGTCGATGATGTCGTAGACCTCGTCCGCGCTCTTGCTGTGCAGGCTGCGTCCGTTCCACTCGATGATCTCGTCGCCTGCGTAGCGTTCACAATCGATTGTTTAATGATTGTTCATGTTGTGGTGAATGAAACGGCAAAACGAAAGATAGAGAGAGAGAGAGAGAGAGAGAGAGAGAGAGAGAGAGAGAGAGAGAGAGAGAGAGAAAGAGACAGAGATAGAGATAGAGAGAAAGAGATATATGAGTCATGATTGAGAGATGTTGGCGAGATTTTTGGCCTTTACCTGGTCGTATGCAGCCTTCGACGTCGGCCACCGAACCGCGTTTCACCTTCTCCACAATGGCTCTGCATGGGCCTCCGAGACCCACGGGCTGGCCGCCGTTCACCTTTAAGCCTAATATATCTTCCCCATCATAGTATTTACGTAATATCATGTGACCAATCATGCGGGTATTATCCGCGGATGTTTGCCAATTCACCGGATTCTATAGACACATGATGTATGTATGTACACGCATTGTGGGTGGATGGTGTTGGTGGTGGATGGGTGTTTGTTGGATCGATCGGGTGTCGGGATGAGATCGTGGATGTCAATTTTGCATAGATTTTGTTTAGATATTGTTGATTGTGGCATTTGTTTGGTGAAGCAAATGTCGATGATCGTATGCAGGAAGTAGAATGGTTTATAGTTTTAGATTTGCACTATACAAAAGTCTTATGTATACATATATCTATATATTTATACATCGATATACACATATAAATACATAGATATACGACTTAATTTAAAAGCTTACAGTTAGTTAAAATAATACATAAACAAAGTCGAACAACAATGGAAAATTAAATATTAAAAAAATAAGACATTTTATACATTTGGTTTCTTTTCTGTTTGTTTGTTTTTGTTTTTTTATACATTCAGTTTTTTTTTCTTACAAGCTAGAAACAGTTTCTACGATAGGCTGTTAGGATATTATAGTTATATAGTATATAGAATTGTAGTTGTCATTCACATTTCGATTTGAGTGAAGTTTTAGTATTATAGACCTACTTTGAGAACACACACGTAGCTTTTGCAATTAGATCATTAAATTCAATTAAAAGTCATATTAAATTGGCAAATTTCAAATTCGGAAATATGCTTGAAAATGTGTTACGGATCGCTTACAACATTTAAAGAACATGCAAGAAAAGAACGTGCTAAGATATCATGTGGAAGTTGTGGATAATGTGGAAGGTATCTAGCTAATGTTGTAGTGTGAGTAAATGGGATTTGGAACTGGAACTGGAGCAGGTACTGGAACTGGGAATAAAAACGTGCTCAGTAGCCAAGGACTTGAGTCTACGGCTCTTCATGCAAAGGAAATTTACAGTTAGTGGGATGTTGTAGAATTGTTGTATGTTTTTCGGCATGCATTTGTATGGTTGAGAGTAATCTTATGGCTGTTGGTACTGTAAATGGATATCGGCTGCATTTGGCGGGGTATAGATAGAGAGAGAGAGAGAGAGAGAGAGAGAGAGATCTGGTCTCTAAATGCAAACTAAAAAGGATATTCGGGGTCTAATAGACTTTGAGCGTTATATTGGCAATATACGTGAAAGGCAATTTATTTTTCAAGTTAAGGAAAAAACAAGAACAACAAACGGAGCTTAGTAAAGACAAAGAAAAATATAAAGACAGAGAGAGAGAGAGAGAGAGAGAGAGAGAGAGAGAGCGAAAGAGAGAGATAGAGAGAGGTGTAGAAGGATAGTGGGAGTATATAGATAGAAACATATTTATAAGGAAACTGTTGACAGACAGACAGACAGACAGAGGGACAGAGGGACCTGGGACACACTCAGACTCTACACAGACAAAATGCAATTTGGCAGCCCGTTTCAAGGGCTCAGTTTGGATTTAAATTTTCTTTCATTTTTAAGGGTTCGCTTTGCCTGCGCTGTGGGTGTTGCTGTCGTGTACCTTGGGGCCGTCGCCGCGGTTCGAGTCCTCGCTGCTGGTAAAGGTGCTGCTCGTATCAATGCCCGAGTCTTTAGTGGCCGAGTCCTGGCTGCCCTGCCGCTCGGATTCCCAGCGCGACCAGTCGCCGTCCAGCGGCTGCGCCAGCTTCGTGCTGGTCAGCAGAGTCGCCGTGCCCACATCCACAGCCGTCGAGGGCAGTATGGCGGTGACTGGTGGCAAGGAGCCACTGCCTGTGCCCGGGGCCACCAGGAGCGACGACTCGTCATCGTGTGCATCGAAACGCACAGTTTTCTTTATTCTGCGCTCGGTGAAGCGGCGCGAGTCCTGCGCCGCCGACGACGATGATGTGCTGCCGCCGCCGCCACCACCACTGGTGGCTGGCTCATCCCAGTAGGCGGCCTCCGTGGAGCTGAGGGAGCTGCTGCCGCCACCGCCGCCACCACCACCAGCGCCAAGCAGGCCGCGCTCTCGGCTCAGGCTGCCTCGCACGCCGTCAGCAGCTGCCGACATCGCGCCACGCTCATAGGCCGAGCCTGATCCAATGACAATCTGCGGCTTGCTGTAGCTCTGTGGATAGTAGCTGCTGCTGGTGCTGCTGCTGCTGCTGCCACCAGCGCAGCCGCTGGCTGCGGCCAAGGGCGGTGCCCGACGAAAGGCAGCACCAGTTGCTCCACCTGCACCAACTGCACCACCAGCCCCACCAGCTCCAGTCGCTCGCTCGTGATTGCTGCGATTAAGCGAGTTGCGCTGCTGCACGTCCAGTCGAGCGGTCCTCGTCAGCGGATACTGTTCCAGGCGCTCGCGATGCTGCAGCTGCAGCTCATACCGATCCCGCTGATCCGCCGAGGCGTACAGCCGCTGATTCGTGTGGCCCAGCAGCCGATAGTCGCTCGAGCCTACTGTCAGTAGATCGCGCTCGTTGAGGCTGCGCTGCTGTCGCCAAGGATCCGTGCGCACTTGGAGACGCCCGCCTGTAGATGTAGGAGGTACTAGTAATGGTTGGCATTTATATATACTCTATCGACTCGACTTTGTGGGTCAATGGACGGGTTAAGAGGGGAGGCGGGGCAGAGACTCTGATTTGTATTCTTAGGGTTACTCAATTGCTCGAATTTTCGAATACCCTTCTCTGTGGGTTCATTTGCCTGACATTAGTTTGTTGTCCTTTGTGGTAAAACTTACGGCGAGAAATGTTTAACAAGTGCCATATAAAGAAATATATATACAGTTTTCATATATTATTCATGAGTTGGATGTTTTCAGTTGATTGTCGATTGATGGTGAAATCTAAATAAAATACGTAAGAGCGTAAAGACCTTAAGTTATGGGAAGGAACTATGTTCAGCATTGTCATCAAGTTTAGCTGTTGAGAACGATTATCTACAAATCCGATCTTAAGTGATCATTAAAGTGTCGCTCCTCAAAAGCTACAATATGTAGAGCTGAGTCAATTGCTGAAGATAGATCCTTAAGTGCATTGTATAGTATTGCATTGATGTATGTAGTATGTTAGCTAGAGTAAGGATTAAATGTAGATTAGGGGAAGACAGACCTAAGTTACAGTTAAAAAGCTATGTCGGTGCCATTAGATCAAAGCATTTGAAAGAGCTGGAACTGAGAAAACTTGATTGCGCCTTAAGACCTAGCATACAAATGTTTTATGTGTAGTAGAAGTTTCGCGGAGGTGCTGGGATCTCGAGCAACGTACATGGAGCATGCCATACAAGGCAGGCAAATACAGAGAGAGAGAGAGAGAGAGAGAGAGAGAGAGAAGTGCATAGGTCTTGGATATGGGTATATTCAGAGAATATCGAAAATCTATTGTACCATACTTATCTGCAGTGGCTAAGATATACATAAAATGTTTTGCGCTAACTAGGGCCTTAATTAAGCTAGTGTTTGGCTTGTCCGTTTGGAGAGAGGAGGAGTGCAGGAGGAGGGGCCGTGAGTGTGTGTAGGTCTAAACTGTTCAGTGAGGCATTGAAGTGTGTTTCAGAGATGTTGGGCTCAAGTGTGTTTTGTTGTTGTGTTGAAGTAAGGAGGAAACTGGAAACAGCGTTACGATATCCATGCAAATTCTTCACGTATTTGTTTTGTTTTTTCAAT